CAGATTTATGTCTTCTCGACTCCGACTTCAATTTCTTCATCGGCAGCAGGGGAGAATTTTCCTCTGCCGACGAGCTCTTCTCCAACGGCAGGATCTTGCCTGTAGAAATCAAGAAACAATTGCAACCGCAAACTGCCACCGGGAAAGAAGCGATTCCCATTCCTCCGCCGCCGGCTCAGCAAGCTGTCGAGAATGATTCTTCTCCGCAGCTTGATTCGGAGAAGAAGAAGCTGCTGAAGGAGTTCCTGTCGATGAGTCTCGACGGAGAGCACGAGGAACAACAGAGGCAAAACCCGCCGGCGGCGGCGGCGGCGGGACCGAGATCGTTCTGGCAATTCAAGAGAAGCAACAGTCTAAACTGCGACGAAATCAGCTGCCGGAGCAGAGGAGGGCTAATCCGATCCCTACATTTCCTTTCGAGAAGCAACTCAACTGGGTCGGCTCCAAATCCACCCAAAAACAAACCCAAGGAGGAAAACCCCCGTCATTTGCGGAAACAGAGGTCGGTTCCCAACAGGAAATCGCCATTGATGCCCACCAGCTCTGCACCCTGTTACTATCCCTACAATACCGGGGGCCGGCAACAGCAAAAATCGAATCTTCCGGCGTTGAGGAAATGCGGGTCATACGGCAACAACTCCGCCGGGATTAGAATCACTCCGGTGCTGAACATCCCGGCACCGGCTTTCATGTCCAGGGGAACGGTCAACTTTTTGGGGCTGGGTTCTCTGTTCTGTAACGGTAAGGTTGATAAAAAGAAGAAGAAGAAGAGATAGATGATCAAAGTTACCATCTTTACTCGTTTTCCTTTCTTTTTCGTCATTATACATATAAATTTGAGTTTTTTTCTTCTTCTTCTTCTTCGATCTGATCATATGTGTATATGAAATCCTGTCGAAAGTACAGATGTATTTGGTTGCCTGTCAATTTGGTTCCTGGTTCAGCCTTCCCTTCCATGTGACCTCTTACTACTCTCCACATTTCTAATCAAATTATTGGATCTAAGAGAATGGGTTGCGACTGTCATGAACCAGTTGCTCCCAATAACTCGAGTTGTTGGGAGAAGGTTATGCTGGATCTTATACCACTCTCTAACACGCCCCCTCAAACGAAAGCCAACCCACGGGCTTGAAGTTTGCACAGGCCCACCATACCATGTGCTTGAAAGACAACGGTCAATATTGGGGGTCGTGGAGATTCGAACACATGACCTTTCGGTTCTAGGCTCTGATACCATGTCATGAACCAGTTGCTCCCAATAACTCGAGTTGTTGGGAGAAGGTTATGCTGGATCTTATACCACTCTCTAACAGCGACAAGAAAGAGTCTTTTCTTTTTGGTATGGCGCAGGCGACACAAAGTTAGGGCTTGGGAGTCGTCTTGAATCTGATGTTAGTATGTTTAATGTGGTAGCTAGACAACTGCGACGACAAATATACGAGTTGATTCGTGGGTGTTGATATTTGTTGAATTGTGATTCTATATGTTATACATTGTTGAGTTGGATATGATAATAACTTTACAAATAATGTTATCACTTCATCTTCGATTCAACAACCGAAAACACGTGAGAACGATCCAACAATATCAATGCAAATGAATACGTAATACCATAAGCAACTTGTGTTTGTCTATGAAGTAGTGAAGTACTATAGTGTGAGCTAGGGATAGGTATTCTGAGTCCAAGAAAGGTAATTGGTTGTGGGGTTCCTTGCCCTAATCAAGATGGGCAGTTTTTGTTCAATGCCTTGCCTATCATTCTATCAACATGGCCAGACTTGGGAGACAAAGAAGCAAAGCCAAAGCATCTTCTTCCTTTTGCCTTTGTCTTTTTCTTTTCTTGTGTTTTCCTTTTAGGCTTCACACTGACCAATTCGATTTCCATGTTAATTTGTTATTTTTTGGCCATTTTGTTGTATGGAAATCTAAATATGGTTCTTTTCTCAAGAGTGATGATCGTGTCATCATGTCATCGCACTAATCAGAATCAAAGAACTAAAGCTAAGACGTGCAAAATCATCTAGTTTGGGTTGTCTGATGTTTATTACATAGCTAACAAACACTTCAAGCACAAATATGTGCTCAATAACACTTTTTTTTATAGGGAATGTGCTCTATCTCTATAAAATAATAGCTATGATGCTGCTGACACAATATGAATTTTTGGTATAATCGTATGCTATTTTTCTATTATTAACTTGATTCCTCTTATGGTGATTTGTAAGGTATGGTTTTAGATAAGCATAATGAAATATAATAATAGTACTACTTAAAGACAAGAATTTCAATGCTTCCAAGAGCAACTTTGCTCACCAAAGAGAATAACAAAGCAGTCGAGGAAAAGGGGGAGAAAAAAATAATGAGTTTTGATAGATGCTTTCACCATATAATTGACTGATTGCTAAGTGAATGATTAGGGAGATTGATTCTCAATACGCTTATAATTAAATATACAAATAATTAATCAATAGTAGGTTGCAAAATCAGCAAAACAAAATCAGAGTTTGTATCGAAAAAGTTGGCGGTAGATTATTTTGTGTTGAATTTGTAGTTGAGCCGTTTTAAAACCCTAAAAATCATCTAGCGAGTTAGACTATAATATAAGGTATTTCCAATCTAACTATCGATATGATTTCACAAACACATATTAAATGACGCTTTTGCCCCCTTCCCTTCTGTCTCTATATCATCTATCTCATTCCATCTTATCCTTTTTGGATAAATTACACGTTTGGTCACTCAAATTACATAAATCTTTCACATTTGTCACCCGAATTACTTTTCTTTCTAATTGGCCACTAACTTTACGAATCGTTTCACCGTTAGTCACCGGCCGTTAGTCTCTGTTAACTCTGTTAGTTTTTTGATGACGTGGCAAACGGGACTGATGACTGGATGGTTAACTTAATGATATGTCAATTAAAAAATAATAATAAATAATTAACAGGTGGTATGCACCCCACCGTGAACTTCCTCCACTGTTCGCCAGCGGCCGGCGTTTGGCAAGCTGCCGCCCTCTTTCGTTGGGAGATTCGAAGTCCTTCAGAGGCTGTCTCTGGAAGGGATTGTCAACTGGGTAGCGAGTTTTCCAGGTCGATCTCGTTCGCCTCGAATCTAACCACCGATCTGTAACCCACCCGAGTCGTCGACTCGTCGTCGATGGAGGACTAGCCATCACCACTTGGAGCAGGATTGTAACTGCAATTAATGGTAGCATTGATTCGAATTTTCTTACCCCGCAGAAGAGTCGGCTCCATCGTCCCCGCCGCCGCCGCTTTAACCATTCCCTTGATGTGATTCACCCTTTTCACGGACCGCTCCGCGTCAAATCTAGACCAGGAGCATTTTCCTCTCTCCTTCAACGGCGATTTACAGCGATTCGTTGCGCAATGCAGCCGAAGAGCGCGGAGAACAAGTCGTTCTCCTCGCGAACTATAGTTTCGAAACCGGATCTGGAAGCAGAGGGAGTGGAAGAAGAACGGAAGAGGAAACAACGTCAGATCTAGATGCTAGGCTGGACTGGAGGAACATCCGCAGGAAGAGGCGAAACTCGTGTCCTCCTCCTCCCGACAATCATGCCGCCGCCGCGAGCGATTGAGCTGGTGGCAGAGTCGAGCCAATAATTCCACCTTCTCCCTCTTCCAGCACGGTGGTTCTTGGACAGGAACTGGTGGGGAACGAGACGGGTGGGAAGGGGAGGGGGCTCGAAGGTGGAAAGGGCGAAGAGGAGGAAGGAGAAGAGGACCAACAAGGAGTAGGCGGGAGATGGTGGATTGTGTTTTGGAAAGGATTGGGTTGCTGGAATTGGTTCTTTTCATGGTTGGTTTTGCATTTTCCGGAGAATCGCCAGAGGAAGGGGAGGAGGACAGGGTGTAATCATAGCTGTGAGCCGTCTGTTTTCCGTCGGAAACGAGAATTCTGGATCCCGACGGAAGAGTTCTTGTGGTCGGAGAAGAAGAGCAGGAGGAAGCCCATATGTCACGGTTGCTGTTGTCAGTGGTGGTGGTGTTCTTGGCCCAGTTGGAGTTTGCTATGATGCCCATAGGGGGTCTGAGTTCTGTAGGAATAAGATTGCCACCCCACAAATACCCACCATTCTAATTCACAATCCCTTTCGGAGGCAGCCTCCGACGGACATTGAATCTCCTAACAGAAGAGGGCAGCAACTAGCCAATCGCTGGCCGCGGGCGATAAGCAAAGGAAGTTTATGGTGGGGTGCAGGCCACCTGTTAATTATTTATTAGTTATTTTTTTATTGACATGTCATTAAGTTAACCATCCAGTCATTAGTCCCGTTTGCCACGTCATCAAAAAATTAACGGAGTTTGACGGAGACTAACGGCCGGTGACTAACGGTGAAACGATTCGTAAAGTTAGTGGTCAATTAGAAAGAAAAGTAATTCGGGTGGCAAACGTGAAAGATTTATGTAATTTGAGTGACCAAACGTGTAATTTAGCCTATCCTTTTTAGTTGAGACTTGAGACCACTACTTTGGATGTGCCCATCTCATGGATTGGGCTGAACTCTGAAGATATACACAAGCTATGCAATGAGACAGTTCAGCAGAGACTACGTTATGAAAGCCCAAGGTGGCCGATGATCCAGAAGCGAAGACAAAAAGGGCCCCAACATCTAGGCCTGTAATCCAAATGGGCCAAGCCCGTTTCCACCGGTTGGCCCAGACGAAGCCAGCACACCGGTGCTTGCTTTGACAGGGAACCAAACTCCGAAACGATTTCAGATCCACACGTGAATCAAGTCGTTAACCAATACCACCAATCATTAATTTAACATTTTTATAATTTTTTTTTTTTTTTTTTTTTTGCGTATAGGGAATGAAACGCGGATAGCGTATGGAAATGGAACGGAGTCGGGTGGGTCAACTCGGTTTACTCAACTCGACGAGATCCTCCGGTCTCCACTATCTTTGCGCCTTCCGCCGCCACTGTTCGGCCAGAAATTCAACTTCACTTTTAATTTCCCGGTCTTCCATTCAGGTCACAGCTCAGCCACTTTCACCCTCCTTTTTCTCCCCTCTTAACAAAACATCACACAGCAGCTTCCCTCCTCCCGCCATGGCTACTCACGAATTCCAGAGGAGAAACTCAATCTCTCAACTACCCAGAAGCGCTATTACTTGTAGCTTTGATCTTGTTCTGTATCTAAGTATCAACCGAGCTGTGCAGAGTCAGAAAGTCGTCTCATCGGAGGATGCTCGGAACTGGAAGGCGATGAGGCGGGGCCACTTGTTCATCTCCAGAAACAGTGAAATGGTCAGAAAAATCTTGCAATTTCCCTGTAAGATACTTGATCAAGTACCAGAATTAAGTTGATGAATACCATTTCACACGAAAGCTAGAATGGATCTGAGGGTGTACGAATACCACGTATTCCAGACAGAATCTGCCCGAGTTTAAATGAACTTTCCTATGAACTGAAACAGGTGACAACAGAATGCTGAAGCTCCTCCCAGTTCTCTGGACACCAGACGCCATGCCTCTGAGGCTGCAACATTAATTGGACTAAGTTTTGCCCCCTTCAAAGCTCTTGGTTCTCGGTACAAACTGCCAACATTATGCTACAGCAGCAGTTCAAAGAACCCACGGAGACCAATAAATGAAACCATTCTTGCTGCTGCGAGCATCGATGCTTCAATCGAAGTCAGACGTGTCGAAGCTTCAAGAGTGGTATTCGGCTTCAAAGACTTTTGAGTGTTCTTGTTCAGGAATTGCACAAACATATGAACAGGTCCCCAAACACTGATGTTTTGACCCGGACTGACAATGCAGGAACCCGAGAAGAACATAGGGTAACAGGTGAAGAAACTATAGATTTCAACTTTTCAATAGCGTCCCAGGGACTACTACATTGGTCAGAGGATTCAAACCTAGAAAAACTTGAGAAACCAAAGAAGCAAAGAAGCTCAAAGAAGAAGGGGGTTTGTCCCTTCTATCTAAGAAGCATTTGCCCACTATTCTTTACAGGACATTATTACTCTCATGATCTTTGATAAAAATAAAAGAACTATTAAGTTTTGTGAAGAGAACAAAAATTAACACTTTCAAGGCACCTGAATGAGCCATCAGGAGTAAGTAGAAGCAACCTGCTTCTTCTATCAAGTCCCTAATTCCCACTGAGATTGTGTGCTTTGCTTTGATTTGTGCCACCCCATCTTCAACCTCTGCAAGTTCTATACCCAGTTTGAAAGCAGGAAAGAGCAATCACCTTCAAACCCTGAACATCTACTATCTCTGCAAGCCAGAGATTGAAGCACAGTTAGTATTCACCATTTCATGAATTCATCATATCAGAGAAGTAAAGGCTGGTGAATGGAACAACTGCTAATGTAAACAGTAGATTGATTTCAGAAAGTTCAATTCGGAGAGCATTTCATGATACCAGAAACCCACATTCCTATTCAATTTACCTTTCCGATATCAGGAATCTCCGGCACCTTGTATGTGTCGACGGTGACTTCCCCCAGCCACAGCCCAGGAAAGAGAGTCTGCAACGAGAAATCGGATCAATCGGAAGTCTCAACAGGAAGAGGAGATTTCGCCGGTGTAATTGGGGAAGGGGAAGAGGAAGCGAACGGGAACGAAAGGGATCGATCAATTTGACTTACATCCATCTGCTTCTGAACAATTCTTGGTCGCTTCTTCGGCCGCCGGGCAGGTCTATGGGCGATCATCGCCATGAAATCCTCTTCGATCTCCTTCCTCGACAGACCCACCGTGAACTTAGCCCTCGGCTCCTTCTTCTCACCGCCTCTGAGCCGAGGCAATTTCCCGCTGTCACTTCTGATAGGAGAATACCTGCTGCTGCTCTCCTTCGGCTCTTCAATCCTCAACCCCTTCGCCGTAGCGGCGCCGGCCAGGCTTGCCGATGCGCCTGCCCCGATCGGCGCGTTAGTCGTCGTCGCCGGAGCTTTACACGCCGCTCTTCTCGTCCTCAGATTCCACGGCCGCGGCTCGTGCTCCTTTTCTACTCCACCGCCGGTAGATACGGCCATCGCCGCTTTAGCCGCCGTCGCCGGCGGCGGCGATGAAGATTTGCGCCGCGCGTCCCGATCGCCGTCGGCAACGTCGTCTTCTTCTTCTTCTTCCTCCTCCTCGTCTTCGTCGCAAACTTCCTTCCTCAAAATCTCGTCCTTCATCCTATCCGCCGCCGTCTTCAAATCGAACATGAGCTTCTCCCCCAAAGCCTCGATCCCTTCGTCGGCACCGCCGCCGCCGCCGCCCGCGCCGCCAATTCTCGGCCTCGGCTTCTTGAATTGGTGATGCCTGGCCTCGTAATCCCTGGAGCTGGCGGCGAATTTCAACGGAGGAGATCGGCTGCTCCGCCGGTGGCGATCGAACGAGATTCCCCTCTCTCGCCTGGGGTTGGTGGTGCTGCCGCTATTACTCGAATCCGGGGGATTCATGCATCGGAGTTGTCTCTGATTCCCCCACTTCAAGCTCGGGAGATTGAAATTGTGGAGCGGCGGTTTTGATCTCTCCGTCCCCATCGCCATCGCCAAACCACCGCCGTTACCGTCACCGGCTCGTCGCCTCACTGACTCTTCTCCCCTCCCACCAATATACACCATTGAACGACCAGAACCAGAGCTCAGATCACGAGCTCCCCCACCTTCCGCTCTCTTTCTCTCCGGAAAAACCCACCGCCGGCGGCCAAGAACTGCCGTTTTCTCTCTCTATTTCGATTTTTCTAATTTTATTTATGCGTGGAGGTTTGGAAATCGCCGGGAAGAGGTTGGGAGAGGGGGATTTTTAATATATATACAAAAGGGCAAAGGGTAGTGAATCGGGGTCGGTTCTAACGTTCGGGTGAAAGAGGAATTCTTGGGGGGGCTTTTCGTAATTTCACAGTCAGAGAGAAGTACAACGAAGGGTTGGCCTCTAACGTGCGCCAAGCGAACAGTGACCGGAGGGAATTGAGGTTGAGACTTCAGCGAGGGTGGCGTGGCCCGTGGGGTTTTAACTTTTTTGACTTTTACTGTTTTACCCTCCTCTTTTATTTCCTTCCATTTCCCGGGTGAAATTACGTCGTCTCTTTGGGTTTGATGGTTGCCGTAACCACCGTCGGATAAAGTGCATTAGGTTTCTCCAGCCGTAGGATTAAGGGATGATGGATTAATTCATTTTCGAGCACCCTCTAAATATTCCTTTCCTTACTGCGCCCCTCAATTAATACTCTGAACTGATTGAGATCTTGAACTTTCACCAATTCACCATTTTCGACTATCTTTTGTATAGGGTATATGACAATATGTAACCAACATTTTAGCCAAATTCAGTGGAGTAGTCAGATTTTTGTCGAAGTACATTTGGAAAAGAATACATACGATAAAATAGTTTTGTTAACAATTTCAATAATTCATGATATTTCTAAAAGAATTACAATATAATTTTGTATTTAAAAAAACATGATAAATTAAATATATGTCGAAACCATCAAGAATCTCACTCTATATGTATCAACCAATTATTAATTATTTAGTTAGATATTTGCTTTTGAATGATGTTCTTCGTCAAGACCTCCACACCTTAGAATTTCTTCTATATTTCGTATATTATATGCTGCGAATGCGGCTGTAAGCAAAAATCATCCATCAGCGATTCGAACGCGCATTGCTGGTAATGAACCATATAATTTCCTCTTATTCAAGAGTGACTTTTTTACCCTGGTTTGATCCACCAGACTGTGCGGACCGTTCAGTATCAATAACTCGAGTTATTATGAAAGATTAATTAATGGACTATACAATTTAGTATTAACTACCACTTCCTCGCTAACGAAACCAACTTATATGTGCTTAAATTTTTCACAAATCTGAATATCATGTGTTTAATAAATGGGGTCGTCAAGATTCGAACACATAATATCTTGGTCAACCATACTCAATTAGAAGTGCGTTAAATTGTCATTTGTACATAATTCGTTATAAAAACATTGAATATGTCAATACACAACTTATGAATTATACATCAAATATTTGAAAGGTCAAACATTCTCATTAAGATACTTAATAATTTTCATACCCGATTAACTATTATACCTAATTTACCATTTTTTCTCCCGAGGCAGGGTGGGTCCCAGGTCCCACCCTCTAACCTTCTCCCTCCGCCCCTGGCCAAATCTCACAAGTCACATCGACAAAGTAGGAGATAGATTTATGATTCACAAGCAACATCCAACTTCAACTAGTAAGATGCACTTGATGGTAAAAATGGAAGAGTTTTCGTAAAAAGGTTGAAGTTAAACATGTTCATTGTAGAGCAATGCAAGGACGGGTTACCTCCCAGGAAGTCATCATGATGCGCTCCAAAGGAAAACCCGTGTATGATAGGCCTAAAGCAAACAATATTTTGATAAAAAAATGGTTATCAACGCATGATTAGGATATCTAAATGAAAATCATTATAATTCTAGGCCAACCCTTTATAATAAAAAAGTTATCAAAATGAAATATTTGTATTGGTTGTAAACCTGCAAGCTGCAACACATGTTATCATAATGCTATCAAATTGGGTGTTACCACCATAACCTCCGCCTAACGGGTACATTCGTTACTCTAAGAGAGAGATGCGAGACAACTTTGTACATACGAGGAAATTAGGGGGGGAGTCATGTTGAGTATTTCAATTTAGGAGAGCCTTTTAGTCCTTTTTAATTTGATTGGCGAGATTCATATTATAGAATTATGTTATTAAAAATTTCCAAACACGTACATATAACCAACTAGATTAAGACCCGGCCCGTTGGCCGAATAAATTTATCAATGATATAAAAAATTATAGAAATTATTCAAAGAAAAATATGTTTTTTTTTACATACATGAGGAGTCCAAATATTTGATTATTGGAAAAATAAAAAAGAGCATGTATCATAAATTTTTGTGAGATGCTAACCGATTTAACTAATGCAATTACCGAAAGTTAAAAAATATCATGCAAGGGAACCCGCTACTAAATTGTTCAAATGAAATAACATGTTGATTATAAATGGATCCAAATTTTATTTTGGACTTCACTATTGCTTCGCCATTAACATTATCATCGTCACCAATAACAACATCTTCTTCTTTATTCATGACCCCTCTATTTTCACTATTAGCAATATCTTCCTTGTTCTCTTGCATTTTGACATTCTCTTCTTTCTTCTCCTAAATTTCATTGATGGCAAAATTTAAAGCTATACTTTTTGCAAATATGAAATATAATTTTACTCGAGTAGATATTACCTCTTTAAAGACTCTTCTTGTCCTACATATAACCGAAAGCTAGAACTTAGTGATAATATATTTACAAATGCGAAACACCATTTTGTATCAACCAAAAAAAACTTCCTAAGACTTTTTTCAAACTATTTTAGTTCTTGCTATCTGTTACATGCATAGATGAATGGTTCTCTAATTAATAACTTCAACTTTTAAATTTAATTTGAACGGGTCAAAACAATTTTTATATGTTCGGTTGGGGTATGCCTATGATGATTTGGTCAAACTCCAAATAATATTTATTCGGAATCTAATGAAAATATTTGATCGATCAGTATAGTTATGATATGTGATATGGTTTGTGTCGCTTATTTATAACTATCAATTGCATTCCTCTTTAGGTTGACCACTTTAAAGTATCATTTTTATACAAATATAAATTTGTAGCCCTGTACTTTATATATGACCGATATAGATTTACCGGAGTATCAAATGGTCGACCTTGTGATTGTTCAAGTCGATAAATGTGATGTGAAGGTTATAAAAAAAATGTGATGTGAAGGTTAACATCTATAACTTAGATGTTGCCTTTTTGTTAGCCAACGAAATATATATATTTAATCTACTACATATATAAGTTCTTTTTTTTACAATTACTCTATTTAAGTTTCACTTAGAGTTTAGCTGGGGTGACTATATAGCATTAACAAATTCTTTTTAATTACGTTAATATGTTTCTTCTTATCAGCAATAAATAATAAATACATAAAAGTAAAATGGTATAACTTTAAACTAAAAATAGAAAGAGGATTAGGAAGAAAAAAAAAGCAAAAAAAAAAAAAAGGAGCCCAACCTCTGTAGGCTTCCTTCCGGACTCAGTGGAATATTATAGAAGTAGAAAAAGTACAAAGACGTTTAGAGCCTTCCGTGAGATGCGCTTAGGGCTGCAATGTATCTTTTAACCCATTCCTCATGCGGAATCTCTTTAAATGAATGGGTAGATGAAAGAATGACAAAAATTATCGGTTCAAAGGCTCTCTCTTCACACCCTTATTTGAAGATATATTTTCAAGTTTCACAAGCTCGTCAGCGGCGGATCTAGGGGGGCCGCCCTTGGGCCACGGCCCAGCCCTCCCTCGATCCGGAGCTAGTATAGCACGTGTAAATTTTCAATTTTTGGTGTTCGTTTCGGTGTTCGTTTCAGTGTTCGTCGTGTTACGGCCCAGTCTTCTCTACTTTTTTCCAATGTGGCCCAGTGCTCTACCCAATCCTGGATCCGCCGCTGAAGCTCGTCCCATGAGTTTCCGAGACACGTTAATTCTCAACATTCGATCGAGATGTTAGATGTAGAGAGGATTTCCGTACCAAATTTTAGAAGTTGGTGCATGCTTTGATCAAGATTGTATGTGAAGAGAATACACTAACAACGATATTGGTGTTGCTCAACACTTCAATCTTGGATCATAAACTCATAACGAACTTTCAAGGAATGTAAAGGATTAATGTACACAAGTACAAAACAGTTTGAACTACTTGTAAAACCCTAGATTGTGGTGTGATAATAGTATATACACACATGTCAATCACTCCCATGGCTCATCACTATACAAGCGGGTCCCATTTATGAAAACTGAAATGAAGTCTCGACTCTCGAGTAATATCATTGGCAGTCCGCGAAACTCGAAGAAACAAGAAGAAAAAGCACAAGGGCTCACTTGGGCTACGTTTTAAAACAGAAGCAGAAACAAAAAAGGGTACGACAGTTTTGGGGTCTAGTTGGGCCTGAGAAAAGTACCAACACAGAAAGAAAGACATGGGCCTGTTCATTCAGGCTGCTAAAAGAATGGGCCACTGGGACCAGTATGGATTGGAAGGCCTCGTCTGTGGAGATTTGGGAAGAAAAGCCTGCATCGGGACGGTAGGTAGGAAAAGAAACGAGCCGGAGACCGGAGTACGGCAACCGCGTGGACTCGGTGGGTCAGTCTCAGTCAACTCAAGTCAAGCAAGTGCTGATGAGGGCAGCATAGTGCACTACTTAAAGCCTTAACCATCTGACACCTACTCAACGCCTTTGAATTATGCTAAATAAAAGGCTTAATTGCAAGTTTGGTCACTCGAATTGCTATAAAATTTCACGTTTGCCACTCAAATTAATTTATTCCATTTATAGTCACTCGAATTAGTTGAACAGTTCAAATTCGGTCACTCTCTGTTAACTTTGACTGACGTGGCGGTCAACTCTAACAGTTGACCGTTAAATGTGTGACGTGGCAAATAAAAAATAATTAAAAAATAATTTTTTTTTTTAGAAATTACACATCATTATCACAAAAAATTATAATTATAAAAAATGAAAAAAAGAAATTCCTTCCACGTAATTATCACAAAAAACAAACAACACAAACTCCAAAGTATAAAGAACCTATACTAAAACGTAAAAAAGCCATCTGCTTTTCCACCTGCACGATCAGCCAGCTTTCGTTCACCAATAACCATCATGCACTTCCTTACCTATCCCGA